AGAAGAAGAACAGGAGATGGGAGAAAACGGTGAAGAGGAACAAACCAAAGAGCAGGAGGAAGAAGACCACGATTCACTTCATCACTCCCCATCATCTTCAAAGCAAAATCATATATACAACCTTAAGGCTTGGGCTAGCTCACTTAGATAAAACAAAAGGAAATTGCCAATAAGCAAATAATGGTATATTGAGTCCATGACAATAAAGCTCGTTTTCACACAAATAAATCGGATACTACCTTCCAAGTTGATTTATCTTCGTAGAAATCACTGCAAGTTGCAAAATTGGTGCAAAGAGGCAGGGGCGGAGCTAGGAAAGCAACTCAGTGTGGGCACAATGTATCATTCATCCATTGATCACCCATCCGATTACGCAATCTATCATTTATAATGTTCGTTGCAAAAAAGACTCTCTCCACAGTAATTGTAGCAATCGGTAGAATCAATGTTAAAGTCAAAAGCTTGTAAACCAATGGAGGCAGAGGTGAGACTTGAGAGGACGACTTGGGCTGGGTAGGTCTTGGGCCGTTTAGCATATTACTAAAAAAAAACCAAAAAATCTAGGTCGAAATTGGTTTCCGTTTTCTTCTTTCGCTGTTTGGGAAATGGTTATCAACAGTTACACAATTTATAAATTTTTTAAAACTCTGATTTTACTATAGCTTTAAAGATAAAAAGTAAACCAATATTCACTACTGGGAAGGTTAGTGTCCTTGTCTTCCTAGCTCGTTTTCCAAACTTAAGAGCTCTTGCATTACTCTATTGAAAACTAGAACTAGAACTCATTGAAGAAAACTAAAATTAATATTTAACTTAACTAAAGCTAGTTTTCATAGAATAACTGCTTTTGTAAAACTAAATCATTTTTCTGTAACAGGCTACGCGATACCCTGAGTTGCAGAAAATACCATGGTACTCTTCCCCTTTGAATAGATTTAAATTTCAGTGTGTGGCATTTCACAATGGTAGTAGGTGCTGATTTTTTGTTATAATTTAAAATCAAAATTTCCAATTTCTTTTCGTATATCCCAATGTCTAGGTACACTAATAGAGCGTTGAAAGGAGAAGGAGCAAAATATTTCCACAAGAAGATTGAAATTCCTTATGGACAAACCCTAGATATTATCGCCATGGATACTGGGCTACTCCAGGTGTGAATTCCATTTTACTAAATGTCTTCTTTGTTATATCTTCTGCCAATAGACTTTTGATTCCTTCTTCCTTGTGAAAATTATTCTTCTGATCACAACGTGTTGATGCCAACTTTCATTAAGTCATGGACATGCATTATCTCGCTTTTTCAATTTTCAACAATACCCAAATTTCAACAATTTCTATTCAACAATACCCAAATTTCAATTCCATAAGGTTTGTTCTCTACAGACTACACAGTACACACCAATCTTGTATGATTCACGAAGACGGAAGACATGAATTTTTTAACAAGCTCAAACATCAAATACGGTATTAAATCAAATGCAGGCCGTAGTATTAAAAAAAAATCTCAAAGACTCAAGCAGATCCTAAAGAAAATATCAAATACGGCATACCCAGCTCAAACATCAATTCATCAAATACCTGACTTTTCTGCGCGCGCACTTGGTGCTTGCTTTCGAGCTTGTTGGCGGCGTCAGTGTCACAACGCGCATTTTCTTATCACAATCCCGGCACAACGCCGCTCGTCGTTAGGGATGGCAATTCGAACTGCTAAAACCGAAAATCGTGGTTAACCGAATCGAATGGGGCGAAAAAAAACCGAACAGATGGTGCATGGGACGGTTATGGTTTTGATTTTAATGAACCGCTTCATTGAGGGACGGGTATGGTATTTAGCGATGGTGAATCGAACCGAACCGATTACCCGTTAAAAAAAAATTGAACAATTTGACTTTCCATTATTATTTCTCAAAATTAATTGGACAATTTTGACAATTGGGCTTCCCAAAATTCTGGCCCAATAAATATTAACTAAACATTAACCCAATAACCCAAGCCCCAGCCCACTGCCCAGTAGCCCAATTAAATTTCAATATACCCTACACGTAATTAAAAGCTAAAACCCTTACCCATGTAATTACAATCTCTCCACTCTGAGCATAACTTGTATGA